CAGGAGAAAGAATAACTCAAAAATCAACAAATTAAAGTCGAAGTTCTACCCACCTTTTCTTACTTCCCAGCCATCGATCTCCGGTCTGCTGAGGTAGTCAATAAAGTGCTTGTCGAACTCTAAAGAACAAATGGTCTCGCTATGTTTCTTCACAATAAAAATGATTTATGTTAGCAGGGCAGGTCATCGTTGTGATCATAATGGGGTGGGGTCGTATTGACCGCGAGGGAGGGGGAGAGTCGTATTTGGTCTTCAAAAACAATTTTTTTTGATAGTTGATTTCTCTTGTTTCACGGACGCTATAAAGGAAGGGGGTCGTATTTGGTCGTTGTTGGGAGAGGGACTGCCAAAGATCTATACAACTACTATTTCCGATAGTTGAAAATGATAGTTGAATCCTGACGACCTCCTCCCCCCCCCCCCCCCCTCCCTTTCCCGCTCGACAGCAAAATTTTGGGGAAAAACCAGAAATTTTTCGGGAAAAAATGGAAAAAGTGGTAGGAAGTTGGGAAAATCTAGGAAAGTGGTAGGTAGCATGGGGAGGGGGGGGGTCGTATTTGAGAAAGGAATTAGGTCGTCGTATTTTTCCTTTATTGAAGTGGCTTAATGTTTCGACCAAATTGTCATCTTCGAGAGCTCAATATCCCTCCTCTTGTGCAAAAGAGTCCGCAATCACACTTGGGCGTTAGGAAGTAGCGAGTTTTTTGTTGAGTTTCTCGTTACTTACTAACGCTTTTACTCAGTGTGACTGCGGATTCTTCCGCTTCAGGCTCAAGAAGAGGGACTATGGGCCTCCGAAGACAACGATTCAAAGCAAACGTTAGACACTTCAAGAAAGTTCCATGTAATTACCTCAAATGACATGTAAATATTCACAAACTATAACTACCTATGCCGTGGCTGCTAGAAGAGAGAAGCTAGAAAATGAAAATAATGCTAGAAATAAAACTATATCATAAAAGTAAAATTAAGAGAAATTGTAGTTAATCACAATGCTTTACCTAAGCAAGTTGTAAGCTGTAATTTTTACATCGTTACCGGTTAGTTTTATTTCATGTTCTTCCAACAATCAGGTCTAGAACAGTTTACCTCCAAAAGTATTTTCGCACA